GGATATTTAACACCAGATCAATTTGGAACACGCACTCTCCTGGTAAAATAAGTAACGTCCTTTATTTCTATTGTGTTTATGACATTTAACTTATATATATATATATAAATATTGCTATTTGTTATAAATAACTATCATTACCTTTTGGATTAATATATTATCTGGTCCACCACAATATGAAGGTCCGATATTATTTCATGGGGGAGGATAGCCTACGGTTCATATTCTAGGTGGTAGTTTCAGTATTCAACCGGCATGGTGATCGTTCACAATCCCAGAAATCAAGTGAGTCTGTTCCGATTTCCGTCGTTAATTCTAATACTAATGAGTACATCCTAGATAATACAGAGTCTTTATACAATACACTGTCGGACAGACACAAGATGAACTTAAGAAGACGTGCAATCAATTACAGACACCTGGACTCCAATTTAAGCTGTGGCGGATGTGGTGTTTGAATAAACTAATGATTGCTTTGTACTTGTTGAATGTTTGATTTCGAATTCTAAATACAGTACATTCGTTAGTGCTTGTGTAGTACTTCTTGATTCAATTGCGTTATCCCTGGGATTCTTAGTTCATACTATAATTCAATTACTTCTAATTATCATATATATCTTAAGAGCTTTAGGCTGCATAAGGGTAACTATTCCGTTTTCTGCCTTTAAGGTAGAAATCGGTACTGAAATATCATACTTGATTGTCTGGATCAATTCAGAGACTGTTTCAAGTAATTTGAAAGTAAGGGATCGACATACGTTTTTCATTTTCACTGTACATCATAGACATGTACTTCTAAATGTGAATGGTTAATTTTTTTCAGATTGAGTCAAGCATTCGTTTTTTTAAAGGAAGGTTTAGAATCCACTTTCTTAAAAACTGTGGAACACAAATTTTAACAAATTTTGAGATGCTAACATTTCCTGAGCAATGTGTTTGTTTAGAACGTTTAGAGGATAGTAGTGAATATAGTATGTCCTCAAATTATGAGGTACAAACTGAATGAATTCTATGCTTTTCTATAACCATCTGCAGCTTTCAAATATAAATAAAAACACTGGTCCTTTTTAGATTTATACAAAGTTTTCAGTTCATTTCGGATACATTCCAATAATCTTCCGGTGTTTGTTCTCTTGATTCCTCACATGAGTTGCATGGTGGTATAATTCCCAATGAACAGTTATACGGGTGAAAATCATATACATTGTCACCCTCGGATTATCTTGTATGCCTCACAGCGGTAGTTAACTACTTTTCGAAGTACCCATTAAATGACGATTTCAACGGATTTCGGTATAAGCAACTAGCTTTATTAACCGTAAGTTATCAGCGGCCAAAGAAAGTTGCTTCTTTTCAAAAGCGTCTAAATGTTGAAATAGGACTTTTATTTTGCGACTCTTACAAGTGACCTTGTTAAGTAGATCGACTCGTCAGGTGGAATAAAAATTGGTTTCTAAATTCAAAGAACATTCACAAGGTTTTCAGTAAACTACAAATATCCAGATTTCCATTTAGCTTGTGTTGGGTGTGGTGCTCGATAATCGATAATTACTTTATACGCTTCTTTAACAGATTTGTTCTAATGTACTTCATCTCCGTTTGCATCTACGGCCTTTAATCGTCAAGCGACTACCGGTTTGTAGTTACTGTAGGGGTAAGTAAATTCCCAAAATAAATAGCTCTGTAAGTTTTCCACATTGGATGCTGACCACATTAGTTTTGATGGACTCATCTAGCTGAAGGCGCTCGGTCATGCATCCGCAACAGATCACGTGTGGGAACGCCGTGCTCAACATCTACTTCAATCGCTAGTCAGATTAGTTCAAACGACCTCGATATATTGATGGCCTATCAAATATATTTTCGAACCTCCTCGTTTATGTCTTTTGATTTCACTTGATGGGTACGCTCCATGTTAGGTGTTACTTGTTAAAGCATTGTCAAACTCCGAATACCTGTGGCATCTTCAGTACAAAAGTAAGTTTCGGATAGCTCCAGGAATTTATGTATTTTACAGTGCACATGATACTGTTACTTACGAAGAAACTTAGTTTTCGTAACATAAATTCTGTTAAAGCTGTTAGTCTTTATTTATATGAAAATTCATCGATGCCCTACTCTGGCTTGCACGATTAAAATAGCTGTTTTATTTCTATTCACGTTACATTTCATGACTCAAATTTAAGTACTTTTACCTAATCCCACCTGAAGAAGCAGCTTAATAGGTTCTCAATTTTTTAATAAAGTCAGGTGCAACTACTCGAATACTTCCTTAAGTTAGATGATAGACAAAGTAGTTTCCTTGTCTGGTCAGGAAACAATTCGTCATCTCAGCGGAGTGCAGACTTGTGGCAAAACATTTCAACAGTTGGAAGTCCTACTAAGAACGTTGATGTCTAATTATATTGATGACAGTGGAGTTCCTTGCGAACTATGGCTTCATTGGTTACAGGAAAATAGCTGCAGAAACTGGTATTCAGGAATAGAAGAATAATAGAGTAGCGGAAATCGCCAGTCACATAGTTAAGCGCTTAAACTGTCACACACGACCAAATCATAAACCCAAGGCTTTGGATATTACGTGAGACGAACTAATGGCTCTTAGTATAAACAAAAGTAACCTAGGCAACCGGCACCGACATTTATCTATTGAATAGAATGCTTCCACTACCGATCGGTATCATCGGAATGTAGCAATCAAACTAAACACTATCTGTTGATGTAAGATTTTATGATAAGCTGTTACCACCGGTGTAGATAACATTGGTATCCCGAACAAAGCTACTATTTTCATTAGATACTTAGGCATATAATGGTGTGGTTTCAGGACCATCAAGGAAAAACCACGTTACAGCCGAGTAGAAGTATTGGGTGCCAATGCATCTCAAATTAAAATGTGTCGACTGTGATCTTAAGTGCTAAGCTTCGTTTTACTCAAAAATTCAAATACTATTAGCGTGGCAGATAATTCTGTATTATTAAGCTGGCTGTAACAGACAAAATACCAATATTCGATCTGAACGAAGAACTTACGAATTAAATTTTAATTCCATTAGACCAGACTACGTAGTTCTGTGTAGTCTATGAATTATTTTTAAGTGACTCGTATTAAATTATGTGAAAATATAAACTTTGTGTTTAATCCGAATGATTCCGGTTTGATAGAGAATAAATTATATCAAGTGTGCAAAATACACCCGTGCTATACAGTCAGGGGTTTTTCTAACACAAGCTGAAGTGGTAAAAACAAAAGGAATAGTTAATAAATAAAAGTTCGATACCTGAGAATCAATAAAAATATTTACGACGTAATGGCATCAGATATTTATCGATAAAGATTCTGACAACATTTCCAAGCGGACAGTCAGAGGATAACAGTCATAAACTGAATCACTCCGTGAACTTGGGTTTAGTCCAACACAATCTTATTGTCAATAGTCCGGCAACATACAATAGTAAGATTAAGTACCGAAAGGTAAGTCTTTAACCAAGGCCACATGATAAAAGCTTAGATGAGGATAACTAAAGAACACGAAGTGTGGTTAATATTGAACTATATGAGAATTAAATTACAAGACAGGGAGAAAAAAGAAACAAATGACAACGCTGTCCAATAAAATGATCCGGGGGGTTTTCAGCGTGTTACTTCCGCTACACTGACCATATAATTTCACATTTACTTCGTACTTGGTTGTTCAAGAGGCTAGTAGGTGTTTATCCCTCAAGCGTTTCTAACAGTTTGTAAAAATGTTTGTCTGTCGCATTGAAACTTGCAGATTTTTAGACTAATAAAAGCTCTAGCTATCGGATCCGTTGTTATTCTGAAGCCAAAAAAGTATACTCTGTATTGATGGGTTATTCCGCAACATTAGTTAGCCTGGATAACGAATTATTCTGTCGTTTTTACTTCTAACCTAAAGCTCAAGTGAAAATACTGCATCATATTACCATACCTTAAAAAGTATATCTCCCTATTAAGATGAGTTCAGTGGAGAGCGGCTAAAAATTAGTTTAACTAAAAAATAAACCAGACTCAGCCCTTTTGGCGGCTTGAAATTCGCAACTTGTACACTGTGGAAGAATTGGGGAAGATATGATCATACATCGTTTCACTCAGAACCCTCTGTACTCGGATGGATCGTCCACATGCTTCATTACTAAATAACGACTAAGAAGTTATTCATTTAAGATAGGAAGCAGAAGTGACTGCAGAAAAATTCTAAAAGATGCTTTTTGAGGTTAGGATGAGTAGACTGCATAAATTCCCGATCAAACCAATAATCATGACATCTTCCACCGAATCTATCAAACGAAGACTATATATTTACATCATTTAAGTAAATTTCGCGATGAATGATTCTAGGAATTATTTCTTAGCCGCTTCTACTAACGTATTTGGCCCTCAGGTTCAAAGGAAAAGTAAAAGGAACACTGATTTTGTGACCGAAACCACTTTTGAGTTATCCATATAAAAGCGTTAAGAGAAAAATAGTTTTATACTTCTGGCCAACAATGTTCAAAGCTTGAAAAGGAGGACAAATCTCTGAAATGCATAAAACATGTAATGAGAGGACTTTAGAGCTGTTCCATAAAATGAGCTCTATATTATCAAACAGAAAAGACGATGTCATTCCAAATTATAACCAATCAAGCAACCTAGATTAACGAAGCACAACTGTCATAACTGAGGGTAACCATGGTTATCATTTGGAGAATATCAGCTCGACAACCCATCAAAGAGATAACTTTCCGATGATATCTCAGTTTCTCTACTAGAATGTCTTACCAGATCGTGCATCTGTTAGATTATCAATTGTAGTACTCATTAAGTTCCCTCACTTCCGTATCATTTCCTTAGTGTTGATGTGCCACATGATATACTCTAAAAAATAAAATAAAAAGTAAAGCAGGATATTTTAGGACTATTGGTCACTTTTCAATGGATAAAATAACGCAACTTGATTATTTCAATTTGTACTGCTTTGAATTATTTGAATCTACACTAACCTTGAGTGTTACTATAGACGACTTCTCAAATATGTAAGCAGATGGGAAAAAAATCTGCAAAAGACAAATCTCCAAAAGTTGGAGATCCCCATATTATTTCAGATCCAAGTAAAAAATAATAAACTGTCTTGTTTATTTCATAGAGGATTATGTTGTGACTGGTATTTTGGAAAATGATTTTCCGGGATTATGTAGACAAATTGGTGTTACTCATTGTCCAATTGTATCCACAAAACACTCCCAAGCCATAAGTACACAGACGGTGTGTTCAGGATTTTAATGATTTGAACATTTCCCAATTTAGATACCTTCTTTACCATCGTCGAAACGCTCAAAAGAAGACAAGAAAAGTCCTCAGTCTCAAAATTCATCAGTTACTAAATATTCTGACGGTTAGTTTCACATTTCAACTCCCAATTTTTAGATATATTGTTTGACTATTTTTGCTGAGTAAATGGTCCGCTACAATTTTTGCTGCAACTATAGTTACAGTGTATACATCTATCGGTTCGCTTTTATGCATTTACAAAATAATTGTTACATTTTTATTATTCAAGATGTTTTTTGACACGAAAAATCTTCCTAAGCTAGTGGCAAAGCGATAAAGTCATCACGAGTGACAGAAAATTCAGTATAGTTTAAAATGTGACTATAGTCGCAGATTCTACTCATAGAAATTAAAATACCCAGTATTTGTCCATGTATTGAGGTCTTGCAGTTGGTCATTTGTCATTTTTTTAAAGTCCACTGAAGGACACATTTTAGTGTTCTTAAAGGAGGAGTTCCAGAAACCGAAAATAAGTTATGGAGTCCTACGAATGGCAACAAATTTGTTTTAAGTATAATCTTTCTTAGTCTTTTAAAAGGATCCGTTCTACTAAATATCGTATCGTTTTTACGACTTAAGCAAAAGGTTAAATTTAAACGGCGTTGGAATATTTTATGTGACAAGAAGAAAAAAGTTGTTACAACTCTTTTTTATCTGATATCAAATTAGACTTTGAAAAGTGTTTCTTTCTTGCTTTTTAGCACGCATCTTTCATAGTAGCATCCCATTTTGTAGAGATGACTGCTTCTCTAGATATAATCCATAAACTTTGAACAGACTTACACATATATAGTTTTATGAATGCTATGAATGCTTCTCATTGCTCTTTAAAATAGTTTTTAGCCATTGCTGGGTAATGTGCTATAGGCTTTATGTATTGGATAATAGTAATCACTAGATTACCATGATTATTCAACAACTCAACGTCACTAACCTAACTTTTTCAACCCCGACAGTCACCGTACAAATTACAGATGTCAGTTGACGAAATGTTCTAAATGGAGGTTGATGTTAAAATACAGATTGCTGCTTGTGACTCTATGATATAATCGTACTATGTACTTAGAGAAATATACACGTCTTTGGTTCAATCTCGTACGAGATCATGAATACAGCCAGTTACTCACAGTCAACACGGAGCCTGAAGTAAATGTGCATCAGTCCAGGTTGCCTTAACATACCAAATGAACAAGATGAAATTAGCGTAATAAAACGTGAAGGAGCCAATATGATAGTAGTAGAAAGGATAGTAAGGATGAATAATCACTGAAGGATACATTTTTTAAAATGTTATTGATTCGAGGAATAAAAGATGATGAACTGTAATGAAGCTGAAGGCTCACCGAAAAATAAAGAGTTAACCTTACTGAGGCATTGTGACAGATTCTGAGCCACGTCACCCAACTTCTTCAACTAGTGATCTCGAGAACTTCAATCAAGTAGTTTTCACCGACTAACATGGCTTATTCAAATGTCAATTACTTCATAGAAAAATTCTATATCTTAGTTTTGCCACCAATAGTTTACTTTCAACCCACTGTTGAAGAAACAATCATTAAAGTTTGGGGTCAAAGGTGGGTAGGAAAAAGTAGCACATATCCCAGCTTCCTCAGTAAAATGAGATTCACAGCCTCACCAGCCAATTTTCGACATGTTCGCAATTCTCTACTCATAACTCCTCTATTGCTCATGACAGTTTTTCTTGATGTACAAGAACTGGTTCCAGGATCCGTCTAAACACGCACTTCTAGAGTCCTGATATAGAATGAATGGGTTGTCCAATGCCTTCCAGTTTGTGACGGAACTTTTGTATTCACTGCTAAAAGTTAAATCTTTACGAAAACTCGATCCTTATCAAAATATAGACTTGTGAAAATTCGAAATACTCTACCGAGTAAGAGTGTATTTATTAGTCATGTTCACAAGTAGAATTAAAAATGTGTAACATACTTTCAGGTGTTATTTTCGGAACAGAAATAAAGCCTAAGAGCCCATTTTGTTTCCTTTCCTGTCACAATTTAGAAATACAATTACTATTAGGATTTAGTCCAACAACATTCAAATTATGTAAAACATTGGAATATTTGAAACCAAAAATAATTGTTCAGCAGGAAAATCCTGATAAACCGGAAACAGTTAATGAAGTTTCTATAAAAGGTATGCTTTGACAACGCAGAGGTTTTACGGGGCGAAAATGAAAAAAATAGGTTGGAAAATAAGTAATAGTCAACTGGACGTATTAATCAAATGTTTTTCTGTTGCAAACAAGCTTTCCAAACTTGTGTGAGTACAGTTATTTGTGATTATAATTGTTTAGTTTAGTAATTTGATATTTAATGAATAATATGATATTTTCGCCGATAATCTTTAACTGAGACACAATTTTCTGCATAAATTGATACGGCATCAATATTTACCCTACCATTTTAGTTAAATATCATGAAATTCATTTTTATATTGAGTTGACCAGTCGTACACAACGTAAAACCTGGCACATATGCGAGTCAGTTTAAGTTGCCGCATCACAATAATACAGATAGATGTAGTTATAGAGACCAACCCAAAGGTAACGGAAGCGGTAACAGTATCAGTAGTAGCTGTAGTAAAAAAAGACTAGGCATGAATGATATGATTTGCCAGGAACGAATTTGTGGAATAAAGTTAGTGAAAAATAATTTTGAAACTCGGAGTTTAAGCGAAGACTGAGAGTTAATGTAAATGCTCCATTACAATCAATTCTGAACAGTGTCATTCAACGTCTTCAACCACTAATTACGATAATCATGCGAACCTCAACCAAGTAGTCTGAACTTACGTACATGGATAAGTTCGACTGTCATTGGCTTCATGGATTGATTCCAAGATTTAGTTTGACCGCCTCCTGTACTTCTCTAATATACTCCTGGTCAGCCAGCAATATGGACTGAGGCAGCTTCACTGAATCAATAGAAAGGTATTTCGTTGCCTACCCGTCAACAAATCACGTTAAAAAGGCTCTGTAGACCAACAGTAACGTTTAGCTCTCATTCTATAAGATACAATTCAAGCGATAAAAGAAAAATCTCGGTCGATGGAAATTACTTCATTGTATTTCTTTCTCGAAAATGGGATCTTTATCATTGGTCGAAGTTTATTTTAACCTACAAAAAATGAAGAATATAGTGACATCACTAGCTACTTTAACAACTCAAAAGCAATCTCTAATAGAGTCTGCTAGCCATTCTAAATGCCTAAGTCATAATATTTCAGCTAACATTTATTTGGTAATTTTTACACCTTATTGCAGAGCCTCACGGCTTACTAGTTTCTGTAACATAACATAACATGCGAATGTAAGTATTGATGTACATAAGGCTGAACAATAACCTACTACAACTAAAGGAGTGAGCACTTCTAAAACAAATAACAGGAAAAAGAAGTATTAATTTGGAGGATCGCCGCTCATAATGATTAATTATGGTCCAAAAGGCAAACACAAATAGTCTTGATAGACATACTGTGGCGATGTGTGAAATAACAACATAAGTTTTAGAGTAGGATTACCCAAAGAGTGTAATAGATATATTATTACATGTACCACATAAATTAGACAGAATGAGTTTTGAATAATTATGAATCAAAAACATAACTGATTTTACAAAGTTTTCACCTTAATTCACTATAGTTTGTTTTAGATGATTTCAGAAAAATCTCAATAAAACCAAGTTGTCAGAAGCCTTTCTAGATATAGAGAGTCTTCTCATCTAGTAGGAAAACTTAACGCACAAAGACTAAAATTAATTTGGGTCAGAATTAGTCACTGTGAAACATGGCAGAAACTAAATGTTTACCGAGAATGAACTGTCATATTCCTAGTTTATCAGTAAACCTCTTGATGACTGTTAATTAGGGCTCACATTCTTATTTATTCTCTTACATAGATATCAGTCTTCGAATTATGGTTGCCTTAGCTTATTTAATGACTGATATATCTTTTTATTTGTTCCAGTTTTATTGAGTTGGAGTTACATCTAAGTTGAAAAAAAGCTAATCAGTTACTATCGTAAATCACCTGGCTAATCAAATATTATTCTGGAGTTATTATTACAAACATTCCTAATGATAATTATGGGCTAAGGATCCTATTCTAAATTGATACACAGCAGGAGTCACAATTTACACAAAAATCCTTCTAGTTACTGACTAATCTTCGAAAAATATCAACTAAAGATAACTACAGTTTATTTAAAAAAATCGCCGTGACAAATTACAGTTAATGAATTTTGAGATTCCGTTTGAACTACTCGCAAGTAACTTAAAATGATTCACACAAGTTATGTTGTCCCGTTGCATGACAATTGTTTAACCTGTCTTGATTCATTTAATATTCTTCATCTGAATGTAAATATTACTGTATGTTAGAGTAAAGCCTAATGAGGATCTAGCTGAAATAATGCTATCCGTTTATGTGTTGCTCTGATTTGCTTGTTCTACCATTTAATTATATTTATAGTTATAACAAATCATTTAATAGGTGCATCGTAGTAATACAGTAATGTTTTCATATTCTCATTACTTTTTTCATACAAAAAAGATTTTGGAGGGTCGGATTCACAGCTGAACAAATAACTCAATTAGCTTCATTCTTATCTACAAATAATACTATAAAGTGAGTTGACGTTTTTCGTAGTTAACCACAAAGCAAGGCTAATGTCACAGCTATTCAAAAATAAAAGCTAATTAAACTGCTTTTTAAACTTGCATTAAATAAAGAGTGGTGTTATGCATAAAATATCTAACAATAAGAGATATTTGAATTTTCAGAGAGAAATATGACATTGAACTAAAAGAATAATCGAAAAAATGTTTTTCAATTAGGTTTATAACTCAAGTGGTTATATAGGTAGGCAAACTGTAGACTGATTAGTATTAAAAACATTAAACTTCAATAGGACATTCTTGATACAAAGTAGAATAACAGATTTATATTCATTTAGTATTGTTTGATTGTAACTTCCCATTGTTGTTTTGGACTGCAATTGATCAGTCTCTTGTTGGAATATGTGCAACCTGTGAGGACTGCCTCGACATTGCCTTAAGTCACAAGCATTCTAGGCAAATATGGATGGTGGCTAGTAGTGGGATCCAGAACTTGTACTTGGGTCTCGTCAGCTGGATGTACCTATATACTTGATATGATGTTCACTCCGTGATTCAGAACCAGTACCGTTCGCTTTAAACGCCATCGTGTTGTTCACTTAGCTAGTGAGTCTTTCGCTCTATTGCACAAGCATATGGCCATCAGTACTCGGTAGCTAAGTGGATAACGCAATGGAGTTTGGAGCGAACAATACTGGGTTTGAGTCCCGGAGTGAACATCAACTCTGGGATGCAAGTATATTCAGTTGACTGCTAGTCACCATTCATCTTTACTTAATAAATTTATAGTTAAATAATCACAACTTTTGGAAGATAAAGAATACTGTAAAAGTCAATGAATAAAAAGATAGAGTACAACTAGGACTGTATAAAAAAATCTCATAAAATCATTAAACAATAAATAATTATATTACTAAAGTATTGATCAATTTATAAGATAATATCTACTAGCATTTTATACTTCACTTTCTCTCATCTATTCTATCTAATATATACTATATTGAACATTGAATGAAAAGTAATAAACCATTGTTTGTTTAGAAGAAAATATCATCTTGGAATAATAACTATATTAATAAATTTCACAAAATGGAAAACGCATTAAGGTGTTCTTTATCATTTGTTCTTTTAAATCATTTTTTTCATGATCACTTCTTTATTTGTTTTACTTATCTTCAGGTCATTAACAATAGATGCTAATGAAGCATTAGAAATTGGTTCATATGCTCAATTAATTGATGAATCCAATAAGTTCGTAGTAATTTATGTATATATGTATATGATTTCTACTGATTTCATCTATCTATAGATTTAGTTTCTTTTAGTCCATTCTCATGAATAAAGAAGTTTAAAAAAGTCAAAGAAATCAGTTTATATTAATCTTATCTAAATTGATCTAAAGATAGATGAGAATTCCATAATGAAGGTTCTAAACTGAAAACAGTTGATTGAATGAAAAACGCATTATAGGCGAATTCATTTAGAAAAATTTCTAGGTAATTGTTAAGTCTAATACTAACAAGGATACTTCATCCATGTTTTAGTTAATTAACTACCCAACTGTAATGAACATTGGTTTATTTGATACTTAAACTATTGACTATTCCATAAGTCATCAATAACAGAATTGTTCGAAAGAGTGATAACTAAAAAAAGAAAGTTATTTTACAGAGCTGCGAGAAGACTAACAAGATCCGCTAGTAAACTTTAGAAAATATGTGCGGTCAAAGAGTTAATGTTTTAACATTTATGTTCGTTAGTATCTTAAGTATTACAATAAAAAAATATGCTCATCTAATTCTCCTGGATTCTTGTGAATTATTTTTATGTGTTTTGATTGAGGCTGATGTATTTTTGGATCGTAGCTAGTATTAGCATGTTAGACTTCGGTTTTATACTTTTCAAGACTTATCAGCAAGTTATAACTGTATTTTATTGTTAGTGTCCACAGTAAGCACCAATTCAATTGCATTTAATATAGAAACTCTGGAAGAGTAGGAAACTTTCAGATATCCGGGGCGGATCATCGGTAAATAAGGAGGATCTGATACAGGTGTAAATGAGAGGATTGGCAAATAAAGGGAAGCACTCCTACAGTTGAACAACATATGGAACTCAAAATAACTGTCAACTAATACAAAAGTGAGAATCTTCAATACGAAAGTCAAGACAGTTCTACTGTACGGAGCGAAATAACGCGTGGTGGAGAAGGCATATAAGCTAACTCTATTTAACCAAGCGTTAGTCGATATTTATAGTTACATAAAAATAACTTACAGAGATGTAATGAATAAGATAGGAAATGCACTTGCATACGCTTACATAAAAACAATCAAGGTAGATAAGAGAATAATTAACATGGTCAAAATGTAGCTCAAGAAGAATGGATAAATTGACGTGTCCAGAAGCTAGAATAAATTATATGGGCTTAACATAGTATCTGACACTACATTCTCAATATTGAATCTATCATAATATCATTTTGGCTCATACCATTCGTTTTGTAAACTTAATCTTACCGTTTTAGGGGTGTATTGTAACTCAGACAAACTCATATTTGTGCTAGATTCTGGGTTTATTATGACCGAGTAAAGTTGTTTATGACTACACCATTACCAAGCTGGCACTAAGCCTTCTACATTTTATTACAACCCCTAGAAATTAACAATGGAAAATATAAATCAATATATCATGTTATGAATAGGTAACAATTAGATTCTTCTGATTTCCTCGCTATCTAGATATATACTATTTGAAGTTAAAATAAATTTTATGAGAACACTGAATTGATAGTTCAGGGTAACCATTTCATTTTAATTATTTAGTACAGAATCATAATAACAATCTATTCATGTGTAAGTTGACTTGCCTTTGTTTTACACAATAATATCATTAACTTATCAATTTCAGATAGTACTAAACAAGTTAATTTCTTCACTTAACTTCCAAATAAATGTAATTGTTTAATATTGTTCACTCTTATTCAAATTAGTTTAACAAAATTACGATTAAGATATTGTGAAATTGGACCGATGGAAGCGAAATTAATTAGTCAACGATTAGGTACAATACAATCTGTGAATAAAAAATTAATAAGTCTTGATCTATCGGGTAATCAGCTAAGAGATGAAGGTACCATTTATTTGGCTCAGGTAATTTATATTATACAGAAGATATGAATTATTTGATATCTAATAATCTAATTTTTGATTTATTTTAAAAATTATTTTGTCTTTTATTTCAGTTCTTGTTTGTAATAATCAACATTTATGATTATTAACTTTTTCAAAGTACAAATTAATATTGGATAAACAATACCAAAAAACTAAAAATAGGAGAAATACACGTGACTGATCAAAACACGGAATGACCTTGGATCAATAATAAATAATTTGAGTGTACCAATCAAAATGTATCAACTAATTGTTAATTGAATGTCAAACTCAGAAATCGGCGAGACTCTAATTTATGAACGAGCCAATTAGAAGAGTTTGAGAGATTTCGAGGTCATGGCGCCAACTTCAGTGCTTAATGATAACGTCCGATCGGTTTACAGGGAATTTTTTACAAAACGTGATAATTGAGCGGTTATAACAAACAAAACGGCAAGACTATAATTTGTGAACGAATCAATCTGGTATAAGATAACAGATCTCGGATTTTGGCGCGAAAGCCTTTCATTCATTTGGCTAAATAAATTTCTGGTATTATAGTTGATGTCAGTTCGTGATGAAAACCCTATATATAATTCCTAACTAAAGCAAATTACGATAATTATTGCGAAATGGATAATAAAAGCACCAGTAACACTGGCTGCAGCCACGTACCGCAATATACACGGATGATTGGAGAGCATACAGGCTCCTACATAGGCTTTGTTATGTGCATCGTTTCGTTATCCACAAGTGGCATTTTGTGTACTCAACAACCGAAGTGCACACAGACAATATTGAAGCTTTGTGGTCGAGGCTGAAAGAGTTTTTGAGACTTTATCATGGCTCCGGAGGCCGACTATTCTGTAGCCGTATGGATGATTTCCTCTTCCGCATGCATTACGATTTTAGAACCTCTGAACCTTTTTTTAACCTTGACAAGTTTTTGAACCATATATAAAAAGATTATCCACTTTATTTCTTTGGTTTTGTATAATATATTTTTATTCTATACTGACCGTTTGCTGATGGGCTAATATTGCTCAACGTCACTTAAGACTCGTTCAAAGGTCGTCCATAAATTAGAGTCTCGCCATTGCATTTTTATGTCAAACTTGTAATAGGATAATGTTGAACTTTGACATTCTTACCATCAAAATAAATCCATTTTATACATTTGTTTAATAGTTAACACTGGCTATAGTATTCCATTATTATATAGGAGTGATTTTTTGTCGAGTTCCATGAAGAGGGGGGTGTCAGAGTAATATCTTTCTGAAGAAAATTAAAGTTTATGTTTCCTAAGGTATGGATGTGCAAAAAAGTGAAGTGCAACAAACAGAATGATTGATTCTAACTGAAAAAGTAAAAAGTATATGGTTTGTTAGTCAAAATATGTTTCGTAACTTGCTAGATTGGCTGATAAGCGTACCAAAATATCTTCATAACATCATGTTCACATTATATCTGCCTATCTATTAAAAGGTGAATAAACCGTTCCACTTCTCACTATGTTAGTTTATGACTAGAAGATCTGATTGTTTCGAATGGAAGTGACGTTTTTACAGAAATTTAGATAAAGAATATTTTTAGATATCTTTCTTGCGTGGAAACACTACTAAGAGATAGATATTAGAGGGAAGCGTTAGCCAGTCAATCTGGCTGGACACATGGGACCCATGAAGGTCCGTAGTATGGATTTTTGATAGATTTCAATAAACATTAGAATAAATTAAACTCTAAGTGATACGGACAAACGGTAAACGAGTTTACAAAATTTAATGATTGATAATCTAAGACATTTTATTATCCCCTTAATAATGCTAAATGTCTCTTTTTCGAAGTGTTAAGAATTCATGTAGCAGATTTTCCAAACTATTCTGTTTTCATACGCTTATTTATGACTTGTCAAACACTTACTTACTTACTTACGCCTGGTACTCCTCGTGAAGGAGCATAGGCCGCTCACCAGCATTCTCCATCCAACCCTGTCCTGGGCAATCCTTTCAAGCTCTTTCCAGTTCTTATTCATCTTTTTTATATCTGCTTCTATTTCCCGACGTAATGTGTTCTTTGGCCTTCCTCTTTTCCGCTTCCCTTCAGGATTCCAAGTTAGCGCTTGTCTCGTAATGCAGTTTGATGATTTCCTCAATGTATGTCCTATCCATTTCCATCGTCTTTTCCTAATTTCCTCTTCCGCTGGAAGCTGGTTGGTTCTCTCCCACAAAAGGCTGTTGCTGGTGGTATCTGGCCAATGGATGTTGAGTATCATGCGTAGACAGCTATTGATAAATACCTGTACCTTCTTGATGGTGGTTGTTGTAGTTCTCCAAGTTTCAGCTCCGTACAGTAGAACTGCCTTGACGTTCGTATTGAAGATTCTGACTTTGATATTGGTTGAAAGTTGTTTTGAGTTCCATATGTTCTTCACTTGAAGGAATGCCGCTCTAGCGGCAAACACAATAGAAAATATATTTTAACTTGTGAAAGATTAGTTTCTAACTTCTTAATCAATGTAGTTTTATATTCTGTTTATCTTACTCATTCAGAAAAATGAATGTAATCTTTGTTTACATACTATCTAATTTGATTTTTAATGCTATTATTACTGTGGTAAACTAAATGTTGAAATCTAACTTAGTATCCACTAACTGATCATCAAATGTCAACAGAACCGAAATATAAATAATTATATTCTAGTTGCACAAGCGGGTGGCTATCAGGACTCAGTAGCTAAGTGGATAACGCGGTGGCGTTTGAAGCGAACGGTACTGGGTTCGAGTCCCAGGGTGAACATTAACTCTGGGATGCAAGTATATTCAGTTGACGAGTCCTAAATAGGACGAAACGCGAGTCCTGGATTCCACTGCTAGCCACCATCCATCTTTGCTTAAAAAGCTTGTGACTTAAGGCAATATCGAGGCAGTCCGCAGTCCTAAATAACAATGGGAAGGTGCAAGTAAAACAACACCAAGTGAATTTAATGGGTTGTAGTGTTTTATAAAAGGTGAATATAATTCGCATCTGGCATCACTTTTCAACTTCTTCCTTATATCATCCAAGTCTTAGTTGCTCCCTGTTCGAAATCCAGTTTACTACAACAATAACACAAATACTCGTTTTTAACTTAACTTTTGTTTGATCAGATAATTTATTTTCAATAAATCTTTTGTTTGTTAAACTTATTTAGCTAATTTACTCAAATTTCACTAATTTTTGTCTTATAATCTGGTTAGCTCACCTATTAAAAGAAAAAAGAAAAATCCTAAACTATAATTAATAAAATTACTTCATAATACATCTCTTGTATTAACTTTTTAAAAAAAAACACAAGAAAACTGTCATCCCAACTGTTATATATATATATATATATATATATATATATATATATATATATATATATATATATATATATATATATATATATACTTTTATTACGAACCATACATCACTTGATCCTTATCAAAATGAGGACAACAATAAGATGTGATCGAAAATCAATACTTCAGTTACAGTTAATTTAAAAAATATTAGTTATAAAATAGTTGAGTAAAAATTTCATTTTCTTGTCATTTATAGGAGATCATTTTAGGTGGTTACTACGTCAATAGATATCAATAATTCTGTTAATTCTTAATCTAGAGAAATGAATGATAAAGAATCCATTTTAAACAAACAAAAAACTATTGAATCACTAGATTTTATAAACTTGTAAAGTTCATTTAGGATAGTCGTATTAATTCAGGGAGTATTCTAGTTTAAGTATTCGTTTAATGTTTGGACATTTTATTAGTTTGACTTATTCAACACTGTAGTATATAATGAAGCAAATGATAATACGTATCTTTTTTAAAAAAATATTAGATTCCATACAAGATAAGCGATAGTAATAATACTATAAACGTATACATAAATAGTATGATTTTTGAGCTTAGTTGAACTGTCAGTATGAGGTTGTTGAGATTATTATATTTCATTGAAATCATGAACCGACATAAGTTAGACAACCACTAAAAACCCATCAGAACTAAACATCCTAGTATGAGACCTCTCAGTAGTGCATACCCACAACATCGTGACCGGAGATCGAACCCAGTACCTTCGGTCATAGATGCAAACGCTTAACTTTAGATAATTGAACTGGTGTTCAATGATGTGAAAGTTTAACTTCAGTCAGTTCACGACACTGTGAGACCGTCTCTCATTGTCTTCGGTGACTACCTTCCTCATACTCAACACAGCTAACTCCAATGATCACGGCTTCTCACTAGAAATCTGAAATTTCCTCTCGAAACTAGTAACTAAAGAGAACATAAAACTGTCGTCATTATGACTGATCTTTCTACAGTAATCGGTCATGTAGTAATAAATACTGTTATTCCATCTACTGATTGAACTCTATTAATGAAGTTGAAACGAAGCAATTAGAAAATGTAACTCAGCATTGTTGATCAATTTGTTTTTTGATAAATGGGTGGAGCCAGCCAGTTAGCGGGAAGCTCTGGAAATTAATTTCGTTCTAATTGTCTTATATCACCAAAGAATATCGACAAAATAGACAGAATCAATACTCCGTGTCAAAGTAGAACCCGTCTCACTTAGAGTTATACATTTACTTTGTCGGTCTAATTAATTTATTACTAAAAACTGATGATTTAATAATTTATTAATATTACTGAATGTAATATGTTTTGAAACTACAATTATTGGATAAATCTGATTAATTTTTAAATAATTCAAAATGAATTAAAACATACTTTTTAATATTGTTACCAAAAGGGAATTACTTATATTTTGATTCATATTTCTTGAATTAACTATTCATATGAACTATGTTAAAATGAAGCAACAAGAGACTATTTCGCTTAATTCTGAATTTATTGTCTTAAGAATGTCTGTATTATAGAGAATAATATATTGAGCATTAAGTGCATCTAATCATACAGCTATTCAGATTTATTTGCAATTCTATCAATTATCCCACTCTAGATAGATTAGCCTGGCAACAAATCTAAGAATGCTGTTGGTCCATTTATATCTGTTTATGCTGTAATAAGTTTTAAGATGAACCAATTATTGAGTGTGGAAACAGATATACATAGCAATGTCTTGTATGTTTGTAAAATTTACATACACAAATTCATAACACTTGAAGATCAAAAGATATAATCAAGTTGAAATTATGTAAAGAACAAGAAGAATATCCATATTTTCTCCAAATTAACTATATATTTTTTTCTTTTAGTTAGGTATGTTGACTGTATCTAGTTTTTTTAGAAAAAAACTATTAAAATGACTGAGATTCCGCTTGGTTTAAATCTCCCAGTCTTTCACCATCTTTAAACTTAACATATCTGTTCAATCTTCTTTCGACTAGATTTCAACTATGCGAAACATACGATATGTATTTTTATTAAATCCTAACTAAGTTGTTGTTTTTGATTTATCAAGTGAACAACGCATTTTCTGTATTGATTAGTACTGGTTTTAACAACAATAGTAGCTAAGCCATAACTAAGTTAGAAATCCATCTTTAATCAGCTTTAACGTTAAAACGAACAAGTGCCTAAGGTTTCATCATGAAAATAAGACGAAATATGTGTTTAGTACTCTTTATCGTCCCTGGTCGTTTTTCTATTGAATAACTTGGTTTCTTATTCCTGGATGTAAACTAAAAATCGGCTGTTAGTCATAGTATGATTTACGTGCTGTCATAAATGTCTATTGCAATTCTATTTACACTAACCACCATATTCTAAAAGTGAATTTTTATTTCTAAATTGTTTGTTTATTTTCGTATTAAAGGCACTAAGAACAAATCGTACATTACTTACATTATCAGTTAGCAACAATAAAATTACAGACGTTGGTTGTATAGCACTAGCAAAAGTAAGTATTCCACTTTGTTTTTGATTATTCATAAATTAAGAATTTTCACTGACAATAACGTATCTGAATTAAAATTAAGAACTGAAGTGTTAGTTGCTGTATAGCACTTCACAACTTCCTGAATTCAATGGCGTGTTGGGACTATGAGTGCTCTATGTTAAGGATTCCTAAACTAGGGTGAAACATACATTCATCGTCCATATGCATTCAATAGTTCTTTATTTAATGTTGGTTGGTAATTAAAATAACCCTTTAAAATGAAAGGGAAGTTTGAATTAGAAACAAGATCTGAGTTGATTGTAAAATTGGTCTTGTTCTATTTTAATGTCAGTATTGATGGTTGTTTAATTAAGTTTACATTTAAAATGAATGTTGGTAAAATATGGTTTCTAAAAGTAAAGAATGAATCAAACAGGAAGATGTTTGACTTAAAAGAATCGTCTATTATTCAGTTGTTAATATTCAAATGAATTACATAAAAGTTATTGCATCCACAACTTACCAATGAATTTCTCAAATACATTTTCATAAAACCAAAGCTATTCAGTAAAGTAACACTTCATTCCATTCATATCATTTATTGAGACTTAACAGTAATAATTATACTAACGTGTATGGTCTGCTAGACAACAAATTGAGATTATGTTATAAATTATCTAGAAATACCGAATATCAAATGAAAGTTGTGTATTGATCTAAAGGCTGGTGACAAATGATAAAATTATGACAATTTATAGATGAGAGATAATTATTACATTGATCAATATAAAGGATAGAATACTTAAATGTTAATTTAATAGCAAGTTAATCATTATGAGAAGAATTAGGAAGAAATAACAACGATTGATTGATAATTAAAGAAAATAGCAATAGGTCAGGACCTTAGTATAATAGGATTTCTCCGAACGTATTCCTATGCTTCGTATATCTTTCGTTCTGATGACCGCTACTAGATAACTTCCAATGATGTATAAATTTCAGAAGACAATACAAAGCGTTGACTATAGTTTATTATTGTATAGTATAGATTGAAAAGTCGCGAGCTCTCGAAGCGAGTACGAACGAATGCAGGTGAGTGAACTGTTAAAATTTTAGATTCACATACATATTAGGCAAGTGAATGAGTCATCGAGTAATTTGAGGAACTGACATTAAAATTATAATGATATATCTGTGTTTAGGATGTAACACGTGATCAAGCATGCATACTCGTACAAATAAGATAGTAATAACACAAAGATATTAATAAATTGTTACTAGCCTAATGACACTATCCGTTAAAAAAAGTTATTTAAAGGGCTTGTGAAAATTAAACTGAACAGACTAAAGTGTAGGTGAGGTGCCACAAGAATCAAATGAGAAACTGAACATGTTAGTCATAACCATAGAGAATAGGTTTATATGGGTTAGTTATCAAAACCTCGGAGTCGATAAAGTTTTTGATCTGTACAAAGTCTGTCTCATTTCAACTGGTACAAATCATAAATATGTGAAGAGGATTTTAGCTCGCATTTGTTTATATTTCAGTCGAAAACGTGCACAACTGCTTTCTGATGTAAGTAAAAGGATTCTTTCTAATGCATAATTCATGACATGGGCTTGGCACGTTACAGAACTTCTGTCATTTTATTAGCAGAATATTGGTTACTACTTAAATAATGCGAAGTTAAACTAAGTATTCACCTATCTTATTGGTTAGTGTGATGAGTTGTTAGGTGGAGTGCCCGACATCAGAAGATTGAGAAGATCGAATTAAAGAGAACGGGGGTGTAAACAGAGAGTAATTGTAATGACGACAGGAACGAAGGAATGAAGTTTAAGACAATTGAAGGAAGATTTGCAGATGAGTACTTGATGTGTGATTTTTCACATTTTACAAAATAACTCGGTCATTTTGACAATGATTCTCTATCTACTGAAACTTATTAGGTTGGAATTTAAAGATCAGTTATGTTGGGAAACATCTTTTCATCTGCCTCTTCATATTTAATAGTCATGTTCAATAAATAGTTTCATTACTATGAATGTAGTCGGACTAACTTTCAAAATTAACTTGATTGTACATAGTCGTTTTAAAAATAAGTGTAAATAATGATGGAATGCTTGAAGATCACAGTGGTGAAGTAATCAACTGTTTTATTAAAATCTAAGGTAATCTTTAGTGACATTATCAGTGGGATCTTTTGTTAGGTTTGAGTGTGGTCAACTAAGCTTTCAAACCAGTTATACATACCTACCCTTAGGAACGTCTTTGAATTTTATGGTGTATGTTTAGTCTTGTCTGATATTCACTGTTTTCTTACATGATATTTGACTAAAATGATTGCTATTATAACAGGTTAAGTCTTCTGGACATATGCGAAATTATAAGTATGAAATGACTACTTCTGCACAAAGTATTCGAAGAAATTGGTAAACTTATTTACTTAGCAAATATTAAGTGCCTAAACAAAGATAGCAATGTAATCTCACACATCAGCTAATGACGATCCACCTCATCTTTACATTACAAAATGCTATAACCACCTTCATTCAGTCAAGAATGAAAGGTTAGGTGTATATCATAAGACTAAGTTTATTCTAACTTTTGATCAGTCATCTATTATTTTACATAAATTAGATTGTCTGAATTTCTGTGTTTTTAATGAACACTTTCACTGAAAAATATAAAGTTAGTCAAATCTATGATGACCTGTTCTGTGATAAATTAATTTGAGGACCAAACATCTACTTTGTATCATTGAATAGTGTTTAAATTTCATAATATTTCGGATGAAAGGGCTTGTGGATGTTGTTCATTTTGGAGTCACTTTATATCATTCGTTGACTAGCTAGACTAGAGAAATTCGGACATCTAATTATCTTAGAATGGGAGTTTACAACAATGCACACCCACGATTCCGTCAGCGACTGAAATCAGGACCCCTAAACCTCATGCACATATATGCAATTCAACATAACTTTCATTATTAGCAGTTAACACTAATATAACTGCTCAACCCAACTTGCTTTGTTCATAAACCCGTGAGTAAAGTTGATATAATAATAATAGAAAATAATGTGCTCATGTAGAAATATATCATCTACTCCTTGGAATGATATTAGCAATATGGTATGTGCTCCTTAAACGGACACATCTAAGTAGTATGTATCAAGAATTGAAAGAAAGATTCTTACTGACAGAAGAGGAACATAAGAGAAAAAAAGCAGAAGCTGTTCAAGTAGCAGTAGGAATGAAAGAACGATGGAGCATAAGAGAGAAAATTCAAGGAAGATGTGCAAGTTATTTATTCAATGTATTGTTTTCATATTTTACAAATGTAGTGTGTGATGTTGATTAGTACAATGAATTGGTTTGCCTCCAACTGTCTTCATTCATCACAGTATTAAGATCACTGACCCACGGTCACTTACGAAAATCAAATTATTGACTCAATCCTAGCAGATGAAAGGATATATCTGAAGATAAAATAAGTGATTTACAAAGAATAGTCATATTTCTGATAAAATGACACATTTGTATGCAAATTGGTAAACACAAACCATAATCATGATTCAAGTCATTAAATATATATATATAAGTGTAGAATATGAGGTTATGTAAATCACTCATTGATCAATGAAATTATGATCTGACTATTAGGCTTCATGGATGTGCACATAATTAGTTCCCATGTATTCATTTGTATAAATCATTTCAAAAATTACTTTTAAAACTTTTCTTAATTATTAGGTTATATCTCAATTTTTCTTAACTCATGAAGAAATTGTTTACAGGCGATTATGTCATTCAGAGAAAAGCAAATCTGAATCTATTCCACCAATTTCTGTAAGTCTATGTTCTGTTATATTTATAAAGTAGAAGTATATTCAAAATTATTATATTTTAATTTAAACTAATTATATAAGTAAGAAATGAAGTGATTGGATAAAAAATAATTCATCTCAATCAACTTCTCATTATGATATTATGGTGTTTCAGCTAGATTAATGGTAAAGCCTTTTCTGGGGGAGCCTATGTAGGCCCTTCTGGAATAAATTGCGTATTTTCAATGACCACAAACTTACCATGCAGATGTGATTTTGTGGGTAACCGCCGTCCCGCAGGTCTTCGCTTATATATTTATATTGTAAGAAGATCAAGTAAAAGATTTTTTAAGGTTTTACTTACCTTGGATAAGTATAGTCTATCTGCATACTAGGTAACACACGGACTTTCATCCGAGTACTCCTTTTTATACATACCGGTATACCTACCATGTGAACAAATATATTGCATGGACACCAGTAACACACAGGTTTAATCCCATGCATATCATAGCAGATATATGGATATATTCACCCACTTGGGAGGGTGGATGTTCACCACTCCAATTGAAAACGTATTTGTTACACAGACTGTCTCTTACACATTACATGCATATTATTAAGCCCATGGCTACCGCCCCAGTACTTCCTAACACACTAATAAACATAAGCATTATCTCAGGAGGGAGGTTGTTGATAGCCTGTCCTATCATATCTTTTTATTATGTCTTCGACCTGATAGATTAGGCCACGGATTTTATTGGACATAGGGTAGATAATATTTCAACTAATGTTTCTTTTGTACGACATCATACGCACACCCTTTGCATATACCTATATACATGAACTACATAAGCCCAAGGGCATCTGCACTTCTGATACATAAGATACACATCAGGTGTCCCGGTTTGGTCAAGTGAGCTTCGAGTAGGGACCTGAGTTGATTAAGGATACAACAGAGTTGATGATCAGTCCGATCTCCGTCGACCGCCTAAGTTGACTAGTAAGGTTGCTCCTACTATTCAACAGCTCCGTGAGGTTTTAGGTCAGATTTTGCTGTTGATATGATATTATATTAATGCATATTTGTTAAATGCTGCTAACGAGACCAGTCACAGCACTTTTGAATTGTCTTAATGGATTTTATGTAACCCGATAATTTAATTATTCAATGAGAACTTTGATTATTCATACTATGTTATCTTCATTCACTGTGAAGTTATGTGGCAGACCATTCTTCAGTATTTTCATAGATAAATATTTAAATTGAAAATAATATTAGTTAGGGTGTTTGACTTTTAGGTCATGAGTCGTAGGTTCGAATCAAGCTTCATCTGTTTCAATTCGAGTAGCCGGATAGTATCGTTAGCCTTCATGCTTGGAGTACTTCTCAAAGCCAAGTACGAAAATTCATATCTGGTGAATGATTCAGTAAATATAGTTCATCACCACTCGCTTGTGAATGGTTTTGATCTTAGTTATGAAGCATGACTAAATTAATGTAGTTCTATGATAAAAATGTAACTGAGAAAATAGCGTCTATCATTTCACTTCCTTCTTTTAAATGTCTAAACGGAAGTATTTTGTATTTTTTGGAAATTGTTTTTTTCAGAAGGGGTTTTGTGGAGATTTTAGTAATTTCAGTAGTTAAAATCATGAGTCAACTGGAGCTAGACCAACCAGGTCTTTTGTGAGATACCAACTCACTGAAGACAATGGTGACGGTGGCGCAGTTTCGTGGATTGGTTGAAGTTAGACATTAATACCGTTGGATGCCGGTTCAGTGGTCTAACGGTTAAGCTCTCGCGCGCGAGACTGGTAGGTCCTGGGTTCGAATCTCGAGGTGGGAAGGGGTAGGTTCGTGGATGCTCACTGCTGAGGAATCCCATACTAGGACGAAACGGCTGTTCAGTGCTTCCAGGTTTTCCATGGTGGTCGAACTTTAATTGACTCATGATTTCAACTATTGAAATTATTTTTTTGTTATTTCTTATGGTCAATGTTTAGAAAGAACAAATAGGCAGTAAGCCATAAGATTAAATAGAGGTTTATTTAATTATTTCCTGAGGTTATTTCAAGAAACAAAAATGACGAGCTTCTTTTGTTCCGTAAAATCTAAGTAATTATGCTTAACTTGTGGTTAATACATTGTATTATCAATACTAATCAAATCATAGTTAAATCATATGGAATATTCGTTAAAGGTCACTTTTAATAAGTTCGAATCCTCTAAACACAATTTAAGAAACTTTTTTATACATGTTGATAAATTTTCATCAGGAAGGTCTTCCCATTTCAGTCCAGCAATTATATAAATACATTTCTGGAAGCAGATCTTGAGGTTCCACAGTTTGAATGTCATTGATAGTATGTTTGTTTTTATTTATTTAGCAAAAAGAATATTCTTTTTAATAAATTCTCACCAGATTCTAGCAATTAAAGGTAGAATCAAGTTTTCTGTCAATATATTTAAGTGTTAGTGAAATTAGTTTGTTAGATTTAGTAATTGTTGAAATGCCTAATAAAAAAGTATTTAGATTGAGTCTGTTTATAAATGTAATGAAAATTATAAGAATAATAATCGGAATGAGTAAAAGTGTCAATGACTAAGACATGATCAAATTCATATTCAGAGATTGAATAGATTAGATTAGATTTTGATTTAACTGTGTTAAACAATTCACCATATTAACTGAAAATTGATGAAAACGGTGAGATAGAAGTCCTTCATATGATATAATCAGTTAGTCTGTGCAGGAATCAAAGATCTTGAATGTTATATGTAAAAGATTCTGTTATGACCTTGATTTGTCTACCCACTTTTTGGTGCCGAGGATACTTGTCTAATCTAGATTTCGACCTTGATGCGATAGGCTGATCAGCTTAACCTTGAGACTAGTACGCGTGAGTTCGAGATGGGGTAGAGAGAAGAAAACTATTCTGTCACCTGATTGGTGGGCAAGCACACGAATGAGAGAAGACAAGACAACTGGAACACTACTCGATCTATTTCCCTGACCACTGAACTCACTGGATTTACTGAATTCACTGAATTCAGATTAGTGTAAAAAGGTACATGAATAAATAAGTGAATAACCCGACCGCAACGTACAATAATTAGGAAAAATACAATTATGTCCAAAGCTGGGAATTAGAGTAGAAAATAGGGTGCAAAATAATATGTTTAAATTACAATAGCTTCGGAACAGAAAAAGGTATGGCAGTGAATGATACATCGAACGAAAGCTTATGTTCTGTAGAATAGATTAGGGACAAAAATAAATGTCAGTGTTTTACAAGCTTTGAATAAAATGAAATAACGTCCCGAAAAATAGCCTTCGTAGTTTGTCAGGGCTTCTTGTTTCCCGGTTCACATCATCTTCCCCCTTGACAAAAAAATGTTATAACTGCCATTCAACTGAGTGCATAAGTGAAACCGATTTACGTTGCGATCCGTGTAAGCGTGACTAATTTGACAAACTGGAATAAATAAAAAAAAAGAAAAATGATTAGTCACTATTTACAAGTAATAGTTACGATATCATCATTGATATCTCCCCTCAGAAACGTATGCTCTTTTCTTTGGGTCCACTTGTAGAACATCTGGTCTTCTGCGTTTTCGTAACGATCTCCTAATAGGATCTTGTTCCGGATGCACAGTTTTGTGAGTCGTTGAACTTTTAATATCGAAACTGTCCAAGAAGATTTGCCACATTGAACTCAGTTTCTCGGTTTTCTGTGCAGTACCAGAATTTTCCAGTATGTGGTTAACATGACGTGTCCATTTTTGACCTTCAACTTCCACCACATACATTACATTTCCCCGTCTCTTAAGTATGCGTCCACTGGTCCATTGTGGAGGTGAGTATCTGAAATCACGGACGTATACTGTTTGGTTGTTTTGGAAGATTCTATTTTTCGCCCCATGATGGCGATTAAATTGGATTTCCATCTTTCGGTTTCTCCTTCCTATGAGATTTCGCTCTGGTTTTATTGCATCGAGAGCAGTTTTAACTTTTCTGCCAAACATAATTTCTGCTGGAGACATTTGATTTGGTGCTGACGGGTTTGGAGTTGTTCTGTAGACAAATAGAAAATCATTAAGAATTTCCTTTATCTTCCCCTCCCCTTTTGCCTTCAGTAGCGCTCTCTTGAAGGTATCCACAAACCCTTCGGCTTGACCATTCGATTGTGGATGATATGGAGGTGAACGAACATGATTGACTCCAAATCTCTTGCAGAAATCTGAGAAGATGGACGAAGTAAACTGAAAGCCGTTATCCGACACAAGGATATTTGGGACTCCAAAACGGGAGAATAACTGCCGTAATTCCATAATAGTGTCTTGCGAAGTGACCTGGTTCATAGGGATAATCTCCGGTCATTTTGAATAAGCATCGACACAAATGAGGAAATATGTACCCTGAAATGGGCCAGCAAAATTAATTTGTACACACGACCAAGGTTTCTTTGGAGATGTCATCGGCATTTGTGAAGAATAATCTATTTATGACTCACCCGGTTTTTAATACATTATTATTTGATTTATATCATTTCAAACTTACGATCCTCCAAGAATCACTTGGTAGTGACAATAAAAATTGTACAGTCTTTAGTGATTCACTGAACTTTAAACTTATGGAACTGATTGAGCTGTTTATATATACTGCATCAATTCTGATGAACTGTTAGGCTAATGTGTACTGCATCATGGTTGTGAAGCTTGAATATTATTGATGTTTAGGAGATATAGCATTAGGTATTTATTTAAAATCTGTTTTACAGAGTGTAGATTTTTATTTATTGATTTGGTAAAGATATTTGCTACCAATGTGTAACAATCGGCTATTTTGAGGTGTAATTCGCAGTGAAATATGATTTAGATAGGTTAGTCATCTGGTGTATGAAAATAAAACATCCAATTGTTCTTAATCGTTAGGTGAGTTAGTTCTGTTTATTTTAAAATCATTTGAACATAGAAGCGATATTTATGCAGATATATTTTTGCTAATGTTTATTTCA